ATATATATATAAATATGTGAATGCCGTTCTAGGCATACCACCCCCGGACATAGACGAGACGGAGCTTCATCTGCCTCGGGAGACACGCACTACACTCGCACAACTTCGCTCCGGCTACTGCAGCAGGTTGAACTCCTACTTGAGTAGGTTGAATGAGGATGTGCCGAATGAGTGTCCGGCATGCGGAGAGACCCCACATGACTCGAAACATCTCTTCGCATGCCCGGAAAACCCGACAACCCTAACGGCCTTGTCCCTGTGGACAAACCCCACAGAAGCTGCACGCTTCCTAGGGTTGCCGTTAGTGGAAATTGACGACAACGACTGAGATACCAACCGTCCTGGGCGGGGTTTTTGTAGCCGCTACAACAACAACAACAACAGAGTTTATTTGATATACGCTGATATTTGATTGCTCGACTTTTTCTACAAGATTTGTACTACTTAGTAGCTTGTGGAACAAACCTAATATTTTACAACGGTGTCGTAAGTGTCGTATTGTTGTATGTCGTATACTTCAAAAGCTTAAATAAATGTTTTTAACACTGCGAAAATCCATAATATGACTTTGATGGTAGTTTGCGAACCCCCTTAATATATTTTTTAGGCGTTTTAAAGTGCACGACATACAACAATAGCTACTTACGACACCGTTGTGGATACCCCAACTGTATATTTTGGCTATTAGCATAAAAAATTAAATTTCTAATTTTGACTTTTGGCCGTTTTTGAATGCCTACTGACCCTGTGCCATGGTGAAATTATTATTGCGCCATGCTTCTTTCTAACTACCTTTATAAATTATTGTTGCTTTCATTAAACGGCAACTAAAAAATAAATATATATGTACGTACATACATACATATCGTTGGTCCTCTGCAATAACGACACAATTCAAAATTTAAAAAATAAAAACTCTTAACACTGTTAAGTGTCTCATGTCTCTAATCCTTGTATAATCAAAAATCAGTGTTATCATGAGCTTCATTTTCGCCCGAAATCGTTCACTTTTCCCTTCCGCGTATTCACTACGGGCGGATGAAAAAATTTCGGGCAATAAGGGGCAATACGTTAGTGTTTGGCCGAGCTTCTTTCCCGATTTGTGGTGTGTGCCTTGATGTCACACAATGGAGAGGGACCTACAGTTTTACGCCGACTCCGAAGGGCGATTGTATTTTTATGAGAAGCTACTTTTCATGGCAGAAATACACTCGGAGGTTTGCCATTCCCTACCGAGGGGCGACTGCGGGTACGGTTTAGTTATTTGCCCAATGATTTCAAGATATTGAAATATCAAATTTTTTGTAAATTTCGAAGGGAGTAGCCGAAGTTAGACAGACGAGTGTTATTTTTTCTAAGCGCGGCCAAAGATAGCCAACGTGGAAAGTTGTTCTGCACAAAAATATTGTGTTTAGTGTAGCCGGAGTTGGACTGATGAGGACTATTTTTTCTGAGCTCGAGCGAATAAATATAAATTTTATCCCATTTTCAAATGGTTCTCCACGGGTATGTTAAAGGGTTGGAGGAGTCAGGTATAATTTTTAACTAAGTTTGAACTGTGCTTTCTAGTGGGTGGGGTATCAAGACTCAAGGCCCTCCGCCCTTCGCACACAAACCCAAGAGATAGAGGGGAAATAACTAAACATTCCCTGCGAAAGCTATTGGAAAACTTTATGTTGTATTTTTTGATGTCGGTCGGAAGTTGGGCTCGAACCCAGACCCTGCGGAAATGTAGGGCACACTGCTAACCTACCATAAAAATCAAGTTTTCTCTGCATCACTGTACTATACGTTAGCTGCGCTGCTCACGTCGACAGAATCTACAGTTTCCATTTCAATTATTTTGAGAATAATAAGAAAGTAAATTATAACTTTCTTAAGTGGTGCTTTAATTTTTGTTAATACATTACCTTTTTTGATTGCTGATATTTTCTACGGCGGCTGAGTCACACGCCGTCAATTTAGCTTCCATAAAGCCCAGCTTATGAACAGCTCTAAGCCACACCTTAAAATTCACTTGCCTGAAATCTTGAACAAAACTTTATTGAAGAAAAATTTCAGTAATAGAATTTTAGTTATTACCTTCAAAGTGATGCTGGTTTGGGATTATATTTTCAGACACAAGTTATTCTTATTGGAAATTAAACTTAAAATTAATAGAAAACAAAAGGTTACAATGCCCAAGCAGCGTATAATGGCGACAAAACAGAATGAGAACAAAAAGTAGAATGAAATGTCAAAAAGTAAAGTGCACCGGGCTGCCAGACGTTTAGGAGTCTAAAATCCGTACACGGACAAAAAGTTGTTGGTGAAAAGGCCGTACAAAGTCCGCATGCCCAAATTTGTTTGGCGAGCAAGAAAAAAATTCGTTTGTACTTAGGTGAACACTGGAATCGTACTTTTAATAACATCAAATAAAGCAACATATATTTCCACTAGTCCTATTTATTGATTGCTTCCCAGACAACCTTATTATTTTTCTTATTAGATCATTTTAACAAGCTGTGTGTTCGTAGTTTATGTACATGCAACAAAACTTTTCAAGTAGGTTGTCGACCCTACCAAGTAACAGTGTAATGTTTGAAGCGATGAAAGCGAATAAAGAAACTTAGGTTTTTTTTTAATTTTACGCGACAAAGCTTCCCAACAATCGTAGTCTACAAAATAATTATAAATAAAAATAAACAATCGTGGTACAAAGCTCAATAAAAATATTAAAAATAATAATTAATTTAGGTAGGGATTCTTAAGTCAAGTCATTATAAGAGGCCTACCCAAGAAGTGCTGAAAAAAGTGCCTTGCACGCCTTCTAGAAGGGTTTATCCGTTTTACGATTCACGTGAATGCACAAATTTATATTATTTAACATTACAAATTTATTTCCATAAACATTTTAATTTGTAATAACACTATTTGAAATAAACCTTAAGCAAATACTTCATAGATGTATGATTTTTATAAATTAAAGAAGCAACTTTAAAAGAACTCCTCCAAAAGGCCTTCGGAAGTACTCCATATAAAAGGCCTTACATGGGTAACGAAAGGAGAAGCCCTTCAATTCGTGTCAATCCATACAAAAAAGAAAGGAGAGGGGAATATAGAGTGGAAGCCCTCTTGACTCTCAGGAAGGCCTTTCGGAAGGGCTTTTAACTCCTGAAATTATCTACTGGTCATGGTGGACATTCGTGCCTTGAAATGATGAGTCCAACAACATTGGTTCTAATTGGTTAATCTATGTATGAGTTATTAACGGAACAGCGTTTAAATAAAGGGTTAAAAACGGTTATAAAAAAACTTTCTTTTGAATATTTTTAGTCGGTTTATATTCATTCATACGCTTATAAAATTTAGTTTACCTTTTATTATAAGTTTATATTTATAAGCTTATAAACATTTTGAACATTTAATATAGGTAAATATTTATACGCTTATAACCAATGTTCCATTTCGATTATATTAAGCTTATTTTCAAGCGTTTTACAAACAAAAAATAAACATTTTGTAAGCTTACTGCCCTATTCATAAAAAATAAGTGACATTTTCATACAAATTTTCTATTTGTAAAGCAGGTAAAATCTTATTTATTTTTTATGAATTTGGGTGTTAATCATGGTGAAATACACTTTTTTTACAAAATACTTTTTTCACAAAATTGTCTGCTACATTTGTTGTTCCATTTTTCCCAGAAATGAAATTGGAATGAATAGAGTGTCTGTAACACTGGTATGCCGACATTCCCAAAATTACAACAACGACCCCCTAAGTGACAACACCTTATTATTATTTGACCATTTAATGTTTACAATTGTAAACTTAAAAAAAAGCTTTTTTTTAAGTTTATTTTTCTTGTTTGGCTGTAATTACAATAAAAATTTACTTTTAATCTTTTTTCGCATTTTTGTTTAAACTATTTTCCAATGATCCATTTGTTTCATCCTATCATGGCAAAGGCAATATTGTAATTGAACAGGGTCGAAACGCCTGTTCTTTAGCGACCTTAAATTTTGTAGCACTCTTGGATTATTCACCCGACTTGCGTCGCAAAATTCCAAATTTTGGGTTTTCTTGCTATCGATCCAGCCATAATATTGGTTTGTGTATCGTGGAACACAAAAAATATTTCTGGGATAATACTTTATAACTTTATCTAATTCGTCTTCATAATGTCTAACCTCTGGTGTGTCTATGTGTTCCAAATGTTCATAAATGGAATAGAACTTTTCAGTCAGAGGTTGATCTCTATAGTTTGGCTTGAATGTATGATAATTACCATCGTTTACAGTGCCTTGACAACGAAAGTTCGGCTTACAACTGGGGTTTTTATGCAGCTCGGTGCGTAAAGCTTGTTTATTTGACGGGTAACTTATAGCGAATTTATCGATCTGAAAAAAATTGTAGTTAGGAGTTTTATAATAATTTCAAACATTTTTAACCGACTTTGGAAGATAATTCCGGTTCAGCACACGATCGTGGCCCTAACATACGGCAACAAACGCCCTTATGGTCGCAACGCTTCTGTTCGTTAAACCATCTAGGAAGAGGACTTGAAATACACTTAATGGCTTCTGCTAACTTCTCTTCGCGTGTCATCTCCTTTTTTATACAAGGCGGACAAGGCACTTGCTTTTTGCCATTGTCATCTATCTTTATACACAATCCACATGGCTGTGGGTTTCCGTCTTTGCCGTTTGCTTGGTATTTGTATTGAATATTTATTTTGTGGTTGCAAAAAGTGTCAAGCGTTGGTGGCTTTCGACTAGGCCTATCACATGGCGGAAATGGTGGCTTGGAATCGACAAGCTCGCGGCATTCTTCAGCTATCTTATTGGTGAATAAATTATACTGAGAGTAATTGTTATCCGAATCGAGGCACTGCATAATTTATATTAAAATTGATTTTTTTTTTTGTATTATGTAGTTTAATTTATGAAATGTGAAAATTGCGAACATAAATTTCAAAGAAATAAGTTAATAGTAAAAACAAATATTTTTAAAGCAAGCTTTCTAAATATAAACTAAATCGGACCAGAAATACTGGTTTACTATATCAGCCTAACTCTTAATACTCCCGAAAGAGTTCCTCTAATAATTAACCCCCAGGGAGTAGTATCTTCCCCGAAAATTTGGGAGGGAAATCAAACTTCGTAAAAGCTATTTGACACTTTTTTGACTCAACTCCGTCATTTAATATAAAAAATTCTCAGGGATGATAGAAGGAAAGGGAAAAGACAGAAAACTTCCAGGGAGTTTCTGTACAGAATCGGCTTGAATATGTTGCAATGTCATAGGGTTCTGAGCCAACTGCAAAGTTTCAAGTTGGTTTCAAGTCTCTAGGTCATCGGGAAGTTAGTTAAAATTTTGTTTGGTAGATTTGCCTCTAACAAACATCCCTACATACATACATACATAGCAAGTTTAAAAGCGAGCGCATTATTAAATTAAAGTCGATTAATTATTTGCTATCAATAGAGTTCACGAAAAGGCAAAAGAAATAAATGTTGTGTATAATAAATGAAGCTTTCGACTGTACACTTTTATTGGTTATGCGATACGATTGGATATCACTTCGCCCACACGTTCAATCCTTTTACTGACTTCTCTTTGAAACCACGCACTAAAATATCTGCTTCCCACCAAGTGGGCGCCGACTGTTTTTCTTTCGAAGCGGAAAAATCGTAATTTTCCGACTGAGCATCACTTATATCAAGGTGCTTTATATTTTCGAATACCTCCAATTCTTTACAACAGTTCAAAGGCAGACCACCATCAATCAATGGGTACGGCGTATGCTGCAAATAGAAGTGAATGTCCTTACAACTGGGAGGCAACGGACCTACATCTTTTGGCAGTAAGAGAGCCTTTGTACTTGGTTCATTTAAAACGCCTGGCTCAGTCAAGATTTCTAGTTCGAGATACAGATTGGTTGGACAAAGATTATGAGAAAAAATATTGTAGAGATCTTCGCTGGTCAAGAGTGAGCTGTAATAAATTAGGGTATGTTATATCAACGATAAAAGTACAGTAGTATGCACTCACATTAAGGTTTGATTAAGTCGTCCGTGAAGAATACGGTGTTGGTTGTGGGAGTGAAGCCGGGATATAGAATCAATTGGTATGTGAATGGTATAAGCTTCTTTTGCTGTAAATGTCGTGGATCCAAAAAGGAACCTTAAACAGCGAACAACGTTCTTGTCAAATGATTGTTTTATGAGCTTTTGATAAAAAA